AACTGGGGATTTTGGTTTTTGGAAAGTGTGAAGATGTATACGAATCATGTTGGCAGTGGGGGCAGGTAAAAATGTTGAAGGTAAAGCAGTGGTGGGTGGTGGTGTGGGGAAGGGGTGCATTGCAGGGGTCACAGTATACCCCATGTATTACTGGAGGGTCATATGAGGAGTTCAGGACGCTTGGATACCACAGGGTTAGGAGTTGGTGTATCGTTTTCTAATGGGGGTGGTGGCATCTAAGTATATGTTGCATAAGATGGGGTTTGTAGAGAGGAAACATGCATTTATTCTGTGGGAGAGGAGACGCATATCATGTGGTATATTTTTTGTCATCTTTGGAAGTGGTGAAGTCTGGAGGCGGGGTTATTAGGCTGTTGGGGGGGGGGAGTGTCTTTCTTAGACGTTGTCAATGGAGTAGTGGGGTAGCAAGTGAGGTGGGTAGGGCTTGATGTATTCATGGCAGTATTATTTGCATGTTTCTTGGGTAGAGGCAGATTGTAGGGCATGTTGAGGATAAAAGCGTTAGCAGCGAGGTTTTATAGGACAAGGTGTAGGAATAGGTTAATATATTGGGGAATGGATTCAAGTTTTTTCGATAATTATCGTAATTTTTCTGTAGCACAGCTTCTAAGGGAACAGGGGGGGGCAAGGGTAGGGTCTTTTTTGTGAGGGGGGGTGTAAGGTTAGGATAGTCTGTGGAAGGTGGTGTGAGGGTGAGATAGTGAGGGCATATATTTATGAAATGGCTATGTTCCTGTAGAGATATTTGATATTGGCGATCAGTACCTTGGATACATTGTCATAATTGGAATGCCTTGCATTACATATTGGTTGGGTATATTATTGCACTCACTATCGAGGAGAGGTGGTTTAAGTGGCTGAACACGTGAAAAAATGATTTACCAGTGAATTATAGTATGTTTTTCTTTAGATAATTAGTATACAAGTATTTCCTTTATAACGGTACTTCTTTAAAAAGAAGGATTGTAATACCTTGGCACAAGAGAATGTGAAGAATATGACTTAGTCAAGGAGGTTTAATTGTGTTTCAGATAGGGAGATTAGAATTTTGTTTAGTCATTAACAAGTTTGCCCCGTCCTTGTGAGAACCCATTTGATATGGTTTATATTAAATATGTACATAGGTTGTTTAAAGAAGTGTATCCTCTAATTTATGTGTAAAACACATGTTATACAATGATGTTTCTGATTTACATGGTTGTTGTTTTTTTATTATTGATATGGAATATTGTGGATGTTATATTCTGCCAATTAACAAGTGTGTCCGTGTAGTAACAATGTACATATCTGTGTTCTTATGTATTTTGATTGTTAGGTTACTTGATTTTTTTTTTTTTTCAAAACTGTGCATGAAAATATTTTTTGTATGCACTGTTTATTAATTTGTTAAAAGGGGTTTGTAAATGGTGGTAATTCACCTAAGGGAAAAGTGTTATTTAAGTTCTGGAATGTGTGGAGAGGAATTTTGTAATATCCAGTAATATTTTCTTTTTATTAATCACTTATACTTTCTTGTATTCGTTGTTAAAATGAGGGGAAAGGGAAACCCGATTATATGGGTATGACTTTGTATATAGCCTTTTATGTATAATGTACTACGTTGATTTTCTTTGGATTATATAGTCTTTTGTGAGTAAGAAACTGTATTTGAATTTATTAAACCTTACTGTATGTTTGGGTGTGGGTTGCCTTTTGTGTAGTCACATGTATGATTGAATTTTTGGGGATGGCAATCATGTTAAATTGAAGTGTGACTATTAAGTATAGGTTAAGAGCTGGGATAGGGAATGTGGAATTGTTGTTTCATATTTAATGGATAACATGTCTTAGTTTATGTAACGTATGCATAGTATACATATGAATATGTATTGTGCTTTTTAAATAAAATATAAAAAAAAAATCCTTTTATCCTAAGTTATTAATTTACATATGCTTTAAAATGTTCCTAGATATACTCTTTGCTGGTTAGGAAACTACCAAGTTTTATTTATGTATATCGTATTTGACTGCACAAAAAGAATTGGGATATAAAAACCTAGTGAAACTAAATTCCTGGTTTACAAGGTCTTTTGCGGTATCAAGGTCTTTTGCGGTATCAAGGTCCTTCGCGGTATCAAGGTCCTTCGCGGTATCAAGGTCCTTCGCGGTATCAAGGTCCTTCGCGGTATCAAGGTCCTTCGCGGTAATCAAGGTCCTCGCGGGATCAAGGTCCTTCGCGGTATCAAGGTCCTCGCCCGGGAATCAAGGTCCTTCGCGGGATCAAGGTCCTTCGCGGTATCAAGGTCCTTCGCGGTATCAAGGTCCTTCCGGGGATCAAGGTCCTTCGCGTATCAAGGTCCTTCGCGGTATCAAGGTCCTTCGCGGTATCAAGGTCCTTCGCGGTATCAAGGTCCTTCGCGGTATCAAGGTCCTTCGCGGTATCAAGGTCCTTCGCGGTATCAAGGTCCTTCGCGGTATCAAGGTCCTTCGCGGTATCAAGGTCCTTCGCGGTATCAAGGTCCTTCGCGGTATCAAGGTATACAGGTCACCTGGCAAATTACGCATATTGATGCTCTGCAACGAGGGTATATCGAGATGAGCTTTGGCCAGCTGCCATTTAAATTTATTTAAATTCAGGCAAAAATACTTAGTGCAAATAATGGTTTTAGGTGATGAAACAGCGAGAATGAATTTCGTAAAATGAGTTTCTTGATTCGCCGAGCTGATCACCCGTCTGTATACAGTCACACGACACCTGACCAAACAACTCTAAATAAAAAAATTTTTTAATGCCTACTGAAAGTAATTTACAGTATTTGCCTGGGTATAGATATCTTGCCTGAATTTAAGAAATGAATGAATTGCCAAAAAGCTGAACTAGCTACTAATTTACTTTGTCATAACTGCAGAAACTGTACAAAAGTTGTAAATACAAAATTAACTTGTTACCTTAATTTTTTTTGGGTTATATGCTATGTAAAGGTGTACTGTCGTTCATATACCTATATACCTGGAGTTTACCTGGAGGGTTAAACTCCAGGTATATACATGAATGTATATGTTCAAAAGAAAAACTTGCAACTTTGAGTATTTATGGTGTGGCTTGCACACAGTATTAAGAGACGTACAGTGTCTGGAGATTATTATAATAATAAAGAAGCGCTAACCCACAAGGGCTATACAGCGCAGTGTCTAGAGAATAAGAGACAAGCGAGCTTTATGATAAAGATCCGTACACTACCATTAAAAAAAATCCATTGAAGGGAAATGGAAGTAGGAGAGAGTAAATAAAATTCAAAACCTGAGAAAATTCGTTATGAGAGAAAAAAAACTAAAGCGAGTATCTGCCCAGGGAAAAAGTGGTGCTATAATAATGTACAAGTTATTAGAGTAGAAAGAACGTCGGTATCTTATAAAACAGCAGCTTAAAAATTTGAAATTACACTTAAGGGGAAGCACTAAAACCGTAGTGATGAAGCTCCTGGAGAATAGGAGTCATTTGATCTAAGGGTAGGACAAGTCCAATTCATTGGATCAGGAGCCCCTCGCCGGCATCAAGGAACCTCCCCTTGAGAGGGAGCCAACCCGTAAACAGCATACAAGACTGTGGTAGATCGAAGGTACTGGGCTTCAAATGGCAAGTTAAAATAATTAAAACATTCATAGAAACATTACATGTCTCCCATCAACATAACCTGGCCCACTATTATTACATTCATTGGAGAGCACTAAACCCATAGGGGTCATTCATACAGTGCCTCGAGTAATAGAAAGTACTCAGGTTTGATTCCAAGAATTATAGCATTGGTCTAATTTCTTAAATCAAGAGCCACTCACCAACTAGCTCGATAAGAAAGATTATCAACTAATATGCTAAGTTTAATCTGAAAACTAGTAAATCTACGCTATAACATGAAAGTTAAAAAAATACTTTACGTTTAAGGCCTAATAACTACAAGTGTGTTAATCCTGCAGTTACTTGGAAGGGTTTTTCAGGTTGAAAGCCTATCGACTACAAGAGGGCCATTGAGAAAGTGACCGGTGTACCTCTTGCAAAGGATACTCTTAATACCTTTTCAAATAGGGATTAAACTCAGCATATATACAAATCTCTCAGTGTTGAATAGGGTTTCAAGTCAACCCGTACCTCTCTATATTGTTACTTATTTACTGTCCCTTTCCATATTATTATTATCAAGGGGAAGCGCTAAACCCGTAGAATTATACAGCGCCTGTGGGGGGATGACCCCCCTCAAGGAAGGTTCCTTGATGTTGGCGAGGGGCTCTTGATTTAGGGAATTGGATCTGGGGTCCAGTTCCCCGAATTAAGCCTGAATGCCTTCCACATCCCCCCCCCAGGCGCTGTATAATCCTCCGGGTTTAGCGCTTCCCCTTTGATTATAATAATAATATTGTTGGGGGATGATGCGGAAGGTATTCAGGGAACTGGAGCACAGATCCAATTCCCTAGATCAAGAGCCCCTCACCAGCATCAAGGAACCTTCCTTGAGGGGTTCCCTTCCATAATACATACTGTACTTACAGTCAGAAGAAGCATTTCGCTGATGACCTCCAACCTTCTCCAGCACCTCAACACTACTGAGGTAGAGAGCCTGGCGCAGGAAAGCCTCTACATACACTACTGTTTCCGCCAATAGTAATCAAGCTCTCCCACTCACAACCAATAAGAAGTCTTCTTTCTTTAACTGTTCTTCTTCTGCATTTTTTTTTATATTTTATTTAAAACAGTACATACAAGATACATGCGTATGTTAAAACCATAAAACATGACAAAATACCAATAGTGACATGTACCGGCTCTCCCCACCTCTCTAAACAGATTACAAACACTTACAGAATAAATGAGTATAATCCCCCCTCCTGAACGCTACACCAGAACAACACAGTATGTGTCGGCACATCAGAGATATAAAATATTACTCAACATACATAATACACAAGTTTTTTTTTTTTTATATTTTATTTAAAACCAACAATATACAATAGACAAAAGGAAAAACCATAAAGATGACAATATATGAACAATAACTGAAAAAACATTACATTAGATATTGAAACATTAACGAATAACATAACAATATAACAAATATGACCACCACTACCTACATATAAAATCAGATACCGAAGCTTAAAATTGTCCTAAACTAGCTACATGTGGATAAGTTAACTTTCGCAAAAACATGCAAACCTATATTAAACTCTTCCCCCAAATTAATCACCTTCTCTAATTTACACTAGAATAATAAAATACAAGTATAAAAAGACCCTTTTTGAATCAAAGAAAAATTTCCCAAATTATCAAAAATTTACCCTAACCTAACCAGTTTTTCATCTGTATTATAAATGCCCTAATAAACCCCAAAATTTTACCACTTTCCCCTAACCATTTTTGGGGGTTCCCAAAAAACAACCTTGTATTACCTTAAAAGAAAAAAAAAAACAAAAAAAAAAGGAAAACCCCCTTTCCTTCACCTTCAAAATCAATTTAATTTTACCATTAGGTACATACATAAAAATAAGTATTAAAAGAATTTTCCAAATTTGGGAACCAACACTTACAATTCAGTTATAATATTACTAAAACTCAACCCAAATATTCCCACCATTCTTACAATTCAAGGTTCGAAAAACTTTTAAAACTACATACTTAGTATTGCCACCATCTAGAAAAAAAAAAAGGCATGAAAATTTACTGAAAACCTTTTTTGATTCTTCATTCGCTGCCTGACCACGTCGATGAGGTTGTCCCGCTGCACCCCTCTTTTGTTCGGGCGAGCTCCCTTTGTATAAAATGGCCTGATGTGAGGGGGCCCGTAAATACCTTTGGTTTTGAGCTGCTTTGGGGGCCTTTTTCCCCCTCTTCATGCAATTTCTTACTCCCAAAATCTTTGGGGAAAACCCCTATGGAATCCAAAACGATGGGGAAAGGTGTACCCCTGAAGGGGCCTTATAAAATTTTCGTCAAACTAAATTTCCAAACGTCCGTAAGATTTTTGGTGACGGGGTTTCCAAGACTTGAGCCCCGGACGCTACTCCAGTTTGTGAAGGTGCTTTGATCGACGAAATCTCGCCCCTTTTTTACGGGGGTTAAGAACTAATGTCCCATTTAAAGGCAGATGGGGCCTGACAAAAGGATTTTTTTTGAGACATAGGGAACCGACTTTCGGGCAAAAAAGGGAAATGTGGACGGCAGTGCTTAAAAGGGACGTCCGGGGGGAATTTTTCCCCTAAGAAAAATCTGAACACCCCAAAAAATTTACGTCGTTTTGGGAGGACTTCAGGACGCAAGTTTAGGGTATCTATCCCCGGACAGAGACAAACTGCGAATTTTGGGGGCAACAACCATATGGGGGCAGAGTGCGTGAAGCTGAGGGGGGCGCCACGAAAACGGTAAAGAAACCATTTTAAACCAGCGTGAAAATTTTGGGAACCCCCATGCGCAAGCAAGGCCGGGGGCTTTTTGGAGTGAAGGGGTGAGGTTCCAAAAAGAAGGGCATGTGTGAGGTAAGCTGTAAATGAAAAAAGGGAATTTTTTACAACACAAAGGACAATACAGAATTGCAATGCGGGAGGGGGTGCGGCCCTCTAGAGGAAGAGCTTCAGGGGGTTTGAAAAGGACATTGACCCCGCCTGCAGGGGAAATGTTGTTCCTGACTGGTGGGGAGACACGGGGGTGCCTGTAGGGGAATGAAAGGAAAAAAAAACATAGCGGGGTTGAGGGGCCAAAATATTAAAGAGATTTTTCGCCGTGTGCTGGGGAACGGGGCTGGGGAAAGGTTGGGGTTTCACGGAGGGAACCTCAAAATAAAAAGGTTTTAAGGGCATCACGAGGAAAGACGGCGGCGTCAGACTCAATGAGGTCCCTGCCCCCCGGCCCCAGAGGTCTGGGGGGAAAGGGAAAGAAAGGGTCGAAGCTGTCACGAAAAAGGGGCATCGAAAAAAAAGGGGGGGGTTTTGATTGTGAACCCCCTTGTGCTGGCCGGGGCGGGAGGCCCTGGGGGGAAAGAAAAAGAGGGGGGTTTGGGAAACTATAAAGGGCCTGGGTGTAACTGTGAACGTAAAGGGACTGTGTAATAGTGGGGAAAAAGGGAATGGTTTTCAAATTTTTCGGTAAAAAAAAAATTTGGGTGTATTTTTCCCGGGCAAAACACAATTTCAAGAGGAAGGGGCCGGTGGGGGGTTTTCGGGCCCCCGACCCCGCCACCTGCACGCTGAAAGGTGGTGGGGGTATATTGACCAGGAGGCCCCCCCTTTTTGGTTGCTAAAAAGTGGGAGGGGGAGGGGGGAAGAGAAATTGGGCGCTTTGGTTTGGGGGGTGGAGGGACAGGGGGTATTTTTTTATTGTTTTATGCACCGGGGAAAAAAATGTGAGGGAAAAAGGGGATTTTGTATGTGAAAACTATTTTTCTTTTTAAACGGGGTTTTAAACCGCATGGCCATCTTTGGTGGCGACGGGAACTGCGTTTTTTAAGGGCTGCCGGGGAACCAAAAGGGGGGGGGCACTGTCGGCGGCCTTGCAAATTTTTTTGGGGGATTTCAGTTGGGGGAATGGGGTTGGGAGGGGGGCCCTGGGAGGTAAACCCCAATTTTTTGGTAAAGGGGGTTACGCTGCGGGTTGGGATAGGCTGAAATATATCTAAAGGGTTTTTGGGGTTGACATTTTTCCGTAAAATTAAAATAGCTTTTCGATAAATCGGGGGGGAGTAAGGGGCGGGGGAGCCCACTAGCGGGTATATCGGGGGATTTTGGGAAATTAAATCCCAATTTGGTTGGGTATAAAGGGGGGGATAGAGGGATTTGAAAACGCTGTGGGGGGTTTACTGCAGAGAAAAAAGGGGGAAAGGGGATGTGGTGAGGGTGGTGGGGTTTGGCTAAAAACGGTTTTAACATATTACGAAAAGGAAAAAAACCCGTAAAAATTTCTTTAAAATATGGGTTTGGGGCCTAACTTTTTTGGGGGATGATTAGGGGGTTGTTATCGGGGGGGGCGGTGGGGGGCACTTATCCAATGGATAATTTAAGGAAATTTAAAAGGGAGGCGCGTGAGAAACGGGAAAGGGGGTTTTCCAAGCGGTGCGGGTACGGGCGGGGGGGAAGAGGTTTTTTGGGGGCGAAACCTTCATCCTTTTCCCGTGGGCAAAAACAAAGACAGCAGGCATGACTATTCCTTTGGTTTGGGAGGTTAAAATCGATAGAGGTCCGGGGAGGGCGGGCCCATACAACAAAGGGAAAGGAATGGGGCGTTTGCTGACAAGTGTATGAAAATAGCAACAGAAGGGTAGAGGATGGGGTTTTAGAACAGGTGTTGGGGGTGTGGGATGTCAGTTGCCCTAAAAAATGAAGGAACACTGGGTGGCCCAAATAACTAGGGGGAAATATGGAGGGCCCTTTTAAATGGAAGCGAAGGAAAGCACCCGGGAATTTATGGACTCCTTTAAGTTTTTTTCGCAGCATTGGGGAAATATTGAGGGATTTTCTGGTTAGGTTTTAAAAATTTCATGAAGGGGAGAGGTGACTGGGGAGAAGCAGGCAACGGCGGTCGTGTATTTTGGTACCTAAGGGTAAGGGGGAAACATACGCTTCGGATTACCGGGCGCTCGTTTTTAAGCCAATTAAAAATTTTTTTCGAAGATTTTTTTGGGGAAAACGGGTCAAGTGTGTGGTAAGGGGGGGTAGTATCAAAAACCAGTTTTTTTGCCGGGGGGGTCTAAGGTGGAGGGATGGGTTACTTAGGGGTTTTCGTGGGGGAAAAAAGGGGGGGGGGGGGGAGGGTTTGGTTTTGGGCCTCGATTTGGGAAGGGGCATACGAAAGAATGGAAACGAAAACATTGAAAGCCCTCCTCAGGGCGGGGGTTTTGGGGAAAAATAGAGGGCTGGGTTTGGGGGTTGTATGGAGGGGCAATGGCGAGGACAATTAATGGGCGAATTTGGGGGGGAAATTGTAAAGGGGAGGGGGCTTAGGGAGGGGGGTCCTATGTCAAAAATATTTTTCAAAGCGTACAGGGCCCCTTTTTTAGAAATTTATGGGCACGATGTTTCACGTAAAGGGAACCCGGGTGTGGGTTTTGCGAGGGTTTTTCCAGTTTTTTAAAGGGGAAGTGGATGATACAACGGTTTTTTGACAAGGGGGGATTTAAAGGACACATTTAAAGGGGTATAAAATGTTCGCAGGGGAACTGGTATGAGGGGAAAATTTAATAAATCCATGGGGATGGGGGTTAAAGGGGCTTGGGCGGGAGGGTTTTATTGGGGGAGTTGGGAGTTGTGAGGAAGCGGTGAAATTTGTTAAAAAACGGGGGTCCCTTATTTATTTTCAAAAAAACGAACTACCTGTGGAACGCATTTAAAACTTCCCCTTAAGGTAGAAAGGAATTTAGGGACGCTTGGGTGCCCTTTCGACCTTATCATTTGACCCTTGGCAGCGTGCCATTGGTTTTTAATACTTACTGTATCCCAAAATATGGCAAAGTGGGAGCCGGTTCCCATTAACCCGGGCCAGCAATAACGAAAATACTTAGGGGGTTTTTAAAATTTTTTTTTTTTTGTGGGTTTTGAGCGTAAATTTATTAAAAAAGAGATGTGGTAATGTTTTTCCCGGGAAGTAAGGGGGGGGTGGGATTGCTGGACTTAAAACGGAGGGGCAAATGT